CTGTGAATGGTCACAGCAGGTCACATGCACATGTCATGTGATTAGCTGAGGCCAAATCACAGCTAAGCACAAAAAAAAAAAAACCTGAATGAATCGATGTCATTCAGGTAAATATTTGCTTATAGCAAAGTAATTCTTTGCTATAAGCAAATTGTGCAAAAAAAAAAATACTGATCACTTTCCCCAAAGTAGTACAATGTGACTATGGTAACATTGTACTACTTTGGACATAGTGAAATATGAAAAAAAAAAAAAAATCTTAAAAAAAAGAAAAAAAAATTTAATAAAAAAAAAAAAAAATATATATATTTTTTTTTTCCACACTGTCACCAGTCAGTGTCCCTGATCACCGCCATGCCAGTTATATGACGACGCTGTACTGCACTGGTGACAGTATGTAAAAAAAAAAAAAAAAAAAAGTGAAAATAATTTATTTTTTCATTTTCCGAATAATTGCCAAAAAAAAAATACAACTTCAAAAAACTTGCCATGCCTCTTATGAAGTACGTCGGACTGTCTAGTCTGCAAAAAGGGGTCATTTGGGGGATATCTGTACTATTCTGACATTCTTGGACCTCAAGAAATTAGATTGGCTGTCAGTACTTCAGGATTGATCAATATTCAGATCTATACCATAGTTTGTGAACTCTATAACTTTCCTACAGACTAAATAATACATCCTAATTTGGGTTATTTTCACCAAAGACATGTAGCAGAATACATCTCGGCCTAAATTTATGAAGAACAATTATTTATTTGTAAACTTTTATAACAGAAACAAAGAAAAACGTGTTTATTTTTCAAAATTTTTTGGTCTTTTTTGTTAATTTAGCAAAAAATAAAAACCCCCAGCGGTGATGATTAAATACCACCAAAAGAAAGTTCTAGTTGTGTGAAGAAAAATGATAAAATTTTAGTTTGGGTACAATGTTGTATGACCGCGCAATTGTCATTCAAAGTGTGAGAGCGCTGAAACCTGAAAAATAGCCTGAGCAGGAAGGGTGTAAAATTGCCCGGTATTGAAATGGTTAAGTATTCTGCCATAATTTACCAAAATCATATTTTGAAATGTATACTTGTTTTTGGAAACACTACTGTTTTTGTCTATTTGCTGTGTAGTATAACCATTCCATGGCAATAAATATGCTCAGCATGTCCCAAATCATCCTCTTATCTATTCTCTGTTTAGAAGTTGGAGTTGCGTTTGGAAAAAGAAAGATGAATTTGTTTCAGAGCTTGCAGGCAAATCTCTATTCCCAGCAAAAAGCTTTGATGAAGTTATATTTTTGTCAGTTTGCTGCATGTAATTTTTTATGAGGTGACTAACATCTCAGGGACTTTGAAACCATTTATCTTTGCAGTGGACATGTAGAATGTGTAGTATAATATATTGTTTGATGGGCCATTTGGTATTTATTTATCAGATCCACAAGGAGACTTTCCACGTCAGCTTTACCCTGGAGATACAGGACAATTTCCTGCCAGTAACTCATTTTCTTTTATGTCACATTGATAAGTCGACATGCAGGGCCCATTTACACTTTCACATTATATGCAGTACCATTAAACGCATCAAGGCAACATGTCTGCATTGCAAATATCCATAATGCATGGCAACATAAAGGATTCCTTCTTACTTTGAAGAGATTTGTGTCTCCAGGACAGGATGTAAAAGGAATATCTCCCCAAAGGGACACGGACACCAGAAACAAACCCATCATGGCGTTTTACTCTTTCCACAATGTGCCTTTTATTACTGGCTTTTTCCTCATTTTAGATTTTCCTTTACCTTCTGTCTGGTAAAACAGCGGTCCCCAAGACATAAAGTGAGGGAAAATCTCCAGGGCCCTAGATAGCAGTAAAGACCTGACAGGTGTTCAAACCCTTCAACCAAAAATAAAATAAAACATTTTGATATATACGGTACTTTAAATTTTGCAGCAATTTTACAAAGAAACAGACCTAGAGTATTAATGTTTCTAAAGCTGGCCATACATAGATCAAAATTCAGCCAATTCATCAGGGACCTGCCAAATTTTAATGCATGTATGGGCAACCTATTGATTGACTTGTGTACAACCAGCCTGCCGGGTTTTTCTCAAATGATTATTGACGCTGGCTATAGCTGACAACACCAATCATTGTATTCTGCCAGCAGGGAAGGCTCCCCAGCGGCATAACATAATAGCATTGTGGTAGGGATTCCCCCATCAACACTGACTGTTGATGGGAGAATCAAGCAGTTTTCTTTTCTTCCACTCTGCCTTTGCAATGTGATGCTCATATACAAAATACAATCTTTCAGTTAAAGGAAAAGGTAACTTGATTTTGATTGTGTCAGAGTAATAGTGTTGGATTTCAGTGTTTAATTTCCCTGAACTCTGTAGTAATTCTTTGAGGAATCTCCTAGGGCAGCGGTTCTCAACCTGGGGGTCGCGACCCCTTTGGGGGGTCGAACGACCATTTCCCAGGGGTCGCCTAAGACCATCGGAAAACATATTTCCGATGGTCTTAGGAACCGAGACACCGCTGCTGTCTCCGGCGATGTGTGGGCGGGATGATATGCTGCCCCTGTCACCGCCTCCTCACCGCTGATTGGCCACCGGAACTGTAGCTCAGGAGAGGCACACAGGCGGCCAATCACCGGCGAGAAGGTGGAGCTTGGAGAGGAGGAGCCGAGCGGCAGCGCGCGGAGATCGAAGAAGATTGAGGGAGCTGCAGGAACAAGTGAAGAGAGAGGCCAGAGAAGGAAGACAGCTGACAGGTAAGTGCAAATTTTGCTGCTGCAGCCAGGTATGCAGGCTGTAGATGGGAGAGGGAGAGAGCGAGCCCAGGCTGGAGCAGGAGTCAGCAAGGTAAGTATCATTGGTGTCAGTGGAAGGGATAGTGCCCCATCATTTGTGTCATTAATACCAACGATGGTGCACTATTCCTCCCCCCACTGACACCAACGATGTTGCACTATTCCTCCCCACTGACACCAACGATGGGGCACTATTCCTCCCCCCACTGACACCAACGATGGTGCACTATTCCTCCCACTGACACCAACGATGGGGCACTATTCCTCCCCCCACTGACACCAACGATGGGGCACTATACCTCCCCCCACTGACACCAACGATGGGGCACTATACCTCCCCCCACTGACACCAACGATGAGACAGTATTCCTCCCCTCACTGACGCCAACGATGGGGCACTATTCCTCCCCCCACTGACGCCAACGATGGGGCACTATTCCTCCCCCCACTGACGCCAACGATGGGGCACTATTCCTCCCCCCCACTGACGCCAACGATGGGGCACTATTCCTCCCCCCACTGACGCCAACGATGGGGAACTATTCCTCCCCCTACTGACGCCAACGATGGGGCACTATTCCTCCCCCCACTGACGCCAACGATGGGGCACTATTCCTCCCCCCACTGACGCCAACGATGGGGCACTATTCATCCCACTGACACCAACGATGGGACACTATTCATCCCACTGACATCAGTGATGGGGCGCTAGTCCTCCCACTGCAAAATTACAGTTATGAAGTAGCAACGAAAATAATTTTATGGTTGGGGGTCACCACAACATGAGGAACTGTATTAAGGGGTCGCGGCATTAGAAAGGTTGAGAACCACTGTCCTAGGGGATCATAGGTCACCACTGGTGTATGGAAAACTAAGCAATAGATGTCCAATCTAGGTATTTCTATAAAAGATTTTCTTTTTTTCCCCAGAATGTTTATTAACCTCCCTAGCGGTATGATTATTTCAGATTTTTGGTGCTGAAAGCGGTACCATTTTTTTTTGCATGGAAATATGTAGTTTTTTTAATTGTAGGCTGTAATTTAGGAATAACTCACTGAAACCTGTCTGAACAAGAGTCTAGTAAACATCCCGGGTATGATAAAATTTGAAACACGAAATCATAAATTATAATTTAATAAATCATAAAAAATAATATAATAATACATTTAATTCAATAATATAATCAAACCAAAAACACTGAAATTTGAAATAGAGCGCCAAGTTCGCACATCGCTGAGCAAAGTCGCAAAATCGTTTTCAGTGTCTGATGAGGAATTTCCCCCACAAATCATTATCACTCAATTCTGCAAGTGGTTCTGATTTACTATCGCTGTTCTCTAGCCGGTCTAAAACCACTTTTGACATAAAAGGGACACTTTTTGGACGCCATGGACATTTCTAAGTTTCCAGGCAGAAAGAACAGACAAAATACAGGCAGGGCGCCGGACAAAGCACTCGGGACAAAATGTATGTGGAATGGGTTGAAACAGCAATGTTTTACTAAGTAAAATTTGTTTGGAAAAAAAAAATGAAATTTTTTTAAATTTTCAAATTTCCCGCCGCCGGCACCCGTACGTCCCGACGTCACAGGGACCGGAAAACAGAAGCCGGCATCGGCCGGAGGAGATGGCCGGGGACTCTGCAGGGGGGACATCGCGGGAGCGAAGGACAAGGTAAGCGCTGGAGGGACTCCCTATGCAGCGCCGCATGGTAAGCTCGAATGTAGCTCGGGGTTACCGCTTTTGGTACTGACATTTTACCCCGAGCTACACTCGGGAATATCGCTAGGGAGGTTAAAGAACTCAGAGCATACAGCGGGTACAAGCCTCACATGAGAACAGAAATGCATACAGTAGATGACAAAGTATATGCAACAGATAGTGTATTATGGAACATTATCAGAACATTATAAATGGTAAAAGGTAGAGGAAGGCACAACTGGTCTCAGTTCCCCAAGCAGCTTATTGGAGTCGCAACCAGGGGCGGACTGACCATTTGGAAACTCGGGCACTGCCCGAGGGCCTGGGGTCAGTAGGGGGCCCCATGAGATGCCCCTGGTACCTTTTTCATAGGCTTTTTTGATTTTGGGCAAGGACACAGGGGCCCCATGATCCCCTTTTGCCCGGGGGCCCCATGAGTTGTCAGTCCGCCTCTGGTCGCAACACTGGCAGAAGTATTGATCTGAAGCATTGGTTACCTTATCAAGGCCAATGAAGGGGCAGAGGTGTAGGAAAAGCATAATGGCAGCATTTATGGTGATCGCAGGAAGATGCATATAGAGGCAAACAATGCGTAGCCCCTTGTGTTATGTTGTAGAGGTAACTCAAAAGTAGTTGTCAGCATCTATGTGATAGATAAGGGGAAGAAGAGACGGCACGGTTGGAGAGATTTTCTTATACACTGCAGGCTGTTTTGAGCCATCATGCACATATTCTCTGTAAATTAGTATCACACAAATCAGGGAGGAAACCATTTCTATAGAGAAATTTATACATTTATGAGCCTCTAAATGTTTATTGTTAGCAAACAAAGCTTAGTTACATTCCTCATGGTGAAAAATTGACTGTAGAAGGCAGCTGTGAACAGGATTAGGAGGACTCCCTTTGACTTTGTACTGTACTGAGGTCTGATAAGTTCAGGGATTTTTAGGAGAAATGGGGGATTTTAGCTGGGGGGGTTGTCAGTTGGAAGAGAACGCACACACACACAGTCCAGAATGTATTTACTGAGATGGTAAACAGAAGTAGTTGAGAGTAACACTGTCAGGTACTAGAATCCCATTAACACATGAAAGATGTTCAGGTATACAGTTGCAAGAAAAAGTATGTGAACCCCTTGGGATTACGTGGAGTTTTGCATGAATTGGGCATAAAATGTGCTCTGAACGTCATCTAAGTCGCAACAATAGAAGAATAGAAGAACAGTCTGCTGAACATAATACTACACAAACATTAGATGTTGCCATGGTTTAATTGCACATAACATGTAAACATTCACAGTGCAGGGAGGAAAAAGTATGTGAACCTTTGGACTTAATAACTGGTTGACCCTCCTTTGGCAGCAATAACCTCAACCAAACGTTTCCTGTAGTTGCAGATCAGACCTGCACAATGATCTGGAGTCATTTTGGACCACTCCTCTTCACAAAACTGTTTCAGTGTTGCAATATTCTTGGGATGTCTGGTGTGAATCGCTCTCTTATGGTCATGCCACAGCATTTCAATCGGGTTGAGGTCAGGATTCTGTAGGACTAATGTTTGTGTAGTATTATGTTCAGCAGACTGTGTTCTTCTATTGTTGTGACTTGGATGATGTTCAGGCCACATTTTATGCCCAATTCATGCAAAACTCCACGTAATCCCAAGGGGTTCACATACTTTTTCTTGCAACTGTACAATAGAACAGTCAGTAATGGCCCAGTATTGCAATAGTCAGAACTGGAACAGCAGATTACTCAGCAATGACACAAAAATGCAGTGGTATCTCATCGGCATTTGCAATAAGTTATTGTTCCAGGCAAAGCCTGTCTTATCAAGGACAGCTTCTGCAAGAGGGGTGGCTGGGTGGAGGACCAAATAGTGGGTCTTCTATGCTGTACAGGGATCTTCACAGACTGCTCTGGAACCGGAATTGATACTGAAAACCAGCAATGTCACGGCACTATCCTTCCTTGAACAAGAACCTTTCCCTGGGGTAAAGCTTTCATTAACAAGTTGGGGCTCTGCTCCTTACCTAACCAATTGCAAAAAGCTTGTTGAAAATGCAATGGGCACCATTATTTATAAGGGCTGCCTCAAGCAGCCAAAGATCACAAGGGTTTGCAACATCCAATCAGAAATCTGCTATCCCTGAGGCACCTGTGGATCTGCAGAAGAACAATGTTTTTTTTATAGTGGCACAGTGCCGCCTACTGGATGGAGGACAAACTAACTGCCTACAAGTTTGAGGTAAGGGGAAGGGGGTTGCTTTTTTTGAATGGAGGAGTGCAGATTTGATCCAGGGAGGGAGATTTTAGTAGTAAATATTTTTTGCTGGAGGGGATATTTTTGCTTCTGGCAGTAGAGAAGATTTTTTGTAGAGTTGTGTTTTTTTGTTTGATGGGTAGAATTTTGGTGTGTGTGTAAAATGTTTTCTTGTTGAGGAGGTTTTTTCCTGGGGGGGAGCGGTATTGCTGAAGGGGGGTGGGGGGGGGATTTAACAATGCCACGACCATGTTTCATTGTAGGCACCATGCATTTGTTTTTTGTACTCCTCACCTTTGTGATGCCATACAGTTTTGAAGCCACCAGGGGAATATTTTTGCTCAACAGTCAAGAATATGTAGCATACTGTATACATTATAGTACATATCCTGTGCTATATATGTTACATATCATTACTACCATACATATGGCCACTGCACTCTTTACACGTAACTCTACAATATATTCCTCTGACCCCTGCACTCTGTATGTTGGCTTCTGTGTTACATACACTTGACTACTGTACTCTGTATGCAGGATTGTATGTTACCTACTCCCTACACAACGTCCCATATTTTGGGCTATACATTGCATATCCCTGAAAACTCTGTATGCAGAGAGTTTAGTGCACAACATACATCACAACATAGAAAGCTCACCAGTCAGGAGTAAGCAATGTACATAACAGTATAATGAATGCTTTTAGTCAAGAGTATGTATTGTACAGCCCAGCTGGAGGAGCAAAGTGGTCAGGATTATGTATTGTATAGCCTAGCATACAGGGTGTAGTGGTCATGAGTATGCTAAACGGAGCACATCATACATTATTGTACTTTTTTATGCTGGATTGTATGTTACATAGTTCTGACTATTGCACTTTGTATGCTGGATTGTATGTTACATCGTTTTGACTATTGCACTTTGTATGCTGGGTAGTATGTTACATCGTTTTGACTATTGCACTTTGTATGCTGGGTAGTATGTTACATCGTTTTGACTATTGCACTTTGTATGCTGGGTAGTATGTTACATCGTTTTGACTATTGCACTTTGTATGCTGGGTAGTATGTTACATCGTTTTGACTATTGCACTTTGTATGCTGGGTAGTATGTTACATCGTTTTGACTATTGCACTTTGTATGCTGGGTAGTATGTTACATCGTTTTTGACTATTGCACTTTGTATGCTGGGTATATGTTACACGTTTTGACTATTGCACTTTGTATGCTGGGTAGTATGTTACATCGTTTTGACTATTGCACTTTGTATGCTGGGTAGTATGTTACATCGTTTTGACTATTGCACTTTGTATGCTGGGTAGTATGTTACATCGTTTTGACTATTGCACTTCGTATGCTGGGTAGTATGTTACATCGTTTTGACTATTGCACTTTGTATGCTGGGTAGTATGTTACATCGTTTTGACTATTGCACTTTGTATGCTGGGTAGTATGTTACATAGTTCTGACTATTGCACTTTGTATGCTGGGTAGTATGTTACATAGTTCTGACTATTGCACTTTGTATGCTGGGTAGTATGTTACATAGTTTTGACTATTGCACTTTGTATGCTGGGTAGTATGTTACATAGTTTTGACTATTGCACTTTGTATGCTGGGTAGTATGTTACATAGTTTTTGACTATTGCACTTTGTATGCTGGGTAGTATGTTACATAGTTTTGACTATTGCACTTTGTATGCTGGGTAGTATGTTACATAGTTTTGACTATTGCACTTTGTATGCTGGGTAGTATGTTACATAGTTTTGACTATTGCACTTTGTATGCTGGGTAGTATGTTACATAGTTTTGACTATTGCACTTTGTATGCTGGGTAGTATGTTACATAGTTTTGACTATTGCACTTTGTATGCTGGGTAGTATTGGCGCAAGCTCAAATTTAGAAGATAACTCATCCCTCCCTCCCTTGTCCTTCCTGCCTGTTCAGACATGGCCCTTTGGAGTTTCAGAGAGAGCAAACCCTTTACAGTGTTGTCTCTCTTTAGTCTGGGTTCACACCTAAGCATTTTGTGGTGCGTTTTGCATTTTGTAGAAACGCACTACAGTCCATTTAACACGATTTCCTATGGGACACACTCACATCTCCGCGTTTTCACCTGGTGCGATTTTTGGACAGGGTCTGGAACTTTTTTTTTTTTGGAAGGTAATGACGGGCGCAAGGTGGTTCTCTTGTTCTGGGAGGACGGTATATGACACAGCGCGCCATCAATCGCCGCGCTGTGTCAGTGGGGCACAGCGGATCACCGATCAACGGAAAGAGCCGATGACATCGGCTCTGTCATGTGATCAGCTGTGTCCAATCTAATCGCATGTAAATAAGGAAATGCAGGTTATCGGCATTCCTATCCTCACGAGCTGTCACGCTGAGGTGCTACAGAAATGTTTGTAATGCATTTTTTATGTATTTTATATGCGTTTTGCGTTTTTAATCTGCCCAGCAGCAAGTTGACAAAAAAACCCCATAAAAAAACACAAAACGCATAAAAAAAAAAAAAAAAAACATTAAAAACGCATAAAAAAAATGCAAAATGCACCACAAAAAGCATCGGAGAAAGCACTGCAGAAACCGATCAAATACAAACTGCATATGTGTGAACCTAGCCTTAAACTTTTTTTGTAAAAAAAAAAATATATATATTTATGAATAAAATATGAAATGTATCAGTTTAAAAATGTATACACAAATAAATGAAAAGTGACCACAAACCATTATAGTATCCCTTCAGTTTGGTCATACCGATACCTGTGAATCTGTGTTAAATGACATAAAAGCAAAAGAAAAATGGACTGCAATAAACAAGATAGCTAAAGTAATAGCAAGTGGTTGATCCCATTTTGAAGACTAGAAAGAGGAGATTCTATTTTGAAATGTGGCACTTCAGTACAAGGCTAAGTGAGAGATCAGATCATTCCTTTTCAATATACTTTAAAACTTGGTTTTGTCCTGACAGCTAAATGACCTGAAATGTGAAGATACCTTTAAAAGCACAATGTTCATGTAATCCTAATATATTGTGAGGTCAACACATTTCTATAAAACTTGAGAGGATATCCAACTCAGGAATACATTTCATTGACCCTTGCTGAAGTGCAATCCATCACAACTATAGCTGGCTTACAGCACTTGCATCCATGTCATTTTCTTTGAAGCATCTATCTTCGTAACTGCAGTCTGCCAGGCTAAAGGTTAGACCTCAATGTCAATGAGTGGGCATGGTATGTATCTTGCTGCCTTGCTTCATTAAACAGCTTTTATGCAGTTCATCAAGCATTTAACTTTAAAGAGCATATTAATGCATTGTTTCTGTGTATGTATTATTCTATTAACTTGGACATGCACACAGAGACACACACACATATACTTACATTATTCCAATTCATTGTTTTGACTGAATTGATGTGGTTAATGGAAAATCTGTGTAGAAACTTGGTCATAAAACTGACAGTTTATGTGCTCCACTGAGCAAAATAGGATTTTAAAAGCCCATGACAGAGGTTTTGAGCAGAAAACGGTATTGTATATGATGACATTATATATATATATATATATATATATATATATATATATATATATATACACACATACAGTATATATACATATACACATACATACACACACACACACACACTACACTCAAGCCTACACATGGGTACACATGTATTGAAATTCGACCAATTCATCAGGAACTGACCAGACTTCAAACCATGTGTAGCCCTCTGTTTAGCAAATTGGTACGCTGGCTTCTGTTGACTGGTCCTGCTCCAAAAACCAGCATTCGATCAGCTGCTGCAGCCAATGGCTGAAATGCTGATCAATGTATTATGAATGATGGGGGCGCCTCCTCTTAGAGTACAATAGCTTGTATGGATGCAGGAATATGTGAGGTTTTTTTGTTCAGCAAACTGGTTGAAAAAAAAAAACCCCCATAAAACTCACCCAGGTTTACCGTCATTTTTTCTACTGATTTGTAATATTTAATTTTTCTCCTGACTTTTTTCTGGAATCCATTAAGGTGCGATTATCTTCTCTAATGTATCTACAGTATGTACACATATATGGTGTGATACCATATACAGTGGGGATCGAAAGTTCGGGCACCCCAGCTAAAAATTTGTATTAATGTGCATAAAGAAGCCAAGGAAAGATCTCCAAAAGGCATCAAATTACAGATTAGACATTCTTATAATATGTCAAAAGTTAGATTTTATTTCCATCATTTACACTTTCAAAATAACAGAAAACAAAAAAATGGCGTCTGCAAAAGTTTGGGCCCCCTGCAGAATTTATAACATGCACTGCCCCCTTTGCCAAGCTGAGACCTGCCAGTGTCATGGATTGTTCTCAATCATCGTCTGGGAAGACCAGGTGATGTCAAGCTCAAAGGTTTTAAATGCCCAGACTCATCTGACCTTGCCCCAACAATCAGCACCATGGGTTCTTCTAAGCAGTTGTCTAGAAAACTGAAAATCATTGACGTTCACAAAGCTGGAGAAGGCTATATCAATATAAACCCTCGCCATCCAGGCACTAACTAAATATAGAACTTTTTCCTCTCTCACTGGTGAATGGCTTCTCCCTATCACCAACCAAAACAAAATCATAAACAAACCTTTTTTCTCTTGTTTGTATCACAATCACTTTCATGCACAGCTCTCTCGGAATAGCTCTCTGAGTCCCAGGCCATGAGCCACTCCTTGCTCCAGCCCTGTCTTATTTATACCTCCTGTGGTGGTCATCAGTGGAGCACAAAATCCGGTCCGGAACCACCCCTGCCATTGTGGCCCCAAAAATCCAGAGTGGACTCCACCTAAACTTCACAGTATGAGCGTATGCGAGGTGACACATAGCGTCCATCTATCACCTCGCCGTTCATACTGTCACTATATATATATATACACACACATACACAAATACATAAAGCGCTGAGCAAACTGTTGGCGCTATATAAATCCTGTATAATAATAATAATAATTACAATGGTAGCCAAAAAAGTAAAAACATCTTCCTATCCTCTGCCTCCCATATCGAAAGGATAAGGCTATTTTTATAATTATTTTAGATCTTAGATACATCATTAAATTTGGTAATTAACCACATGCCGCCCAGCCACTGTAGAAATACAGCAGCAGGGCGGCACGGCTGGACAAAAGCACGTTTTAAAACGTGTGTTTTGAAAACAGGTAGGGGGCCCGCCGATCACGGCCGCGGATGTCAGTCGCCGGATAACAGCTTGTCATTACCGGCTATGTCCCGGCGATCGGCGGCAATCGCTGACAGAGAGCACAGCTGCAGTAGCTGTGCTTTCTGTCAGTTCCCTGACAGCTCCAGGACACGCTGATCGGGACAGAAGAGTTTCTCTCTCCCGATCAGCGGTGTTCCCTGCAGTACACACCCCCGCCCCCTAGTAAAACACTCCCCCTCGCACAGATAACCCTTTCCCTGAATAATAAACTTAACCCCTTCCTCCCCAGTGCCATTAGTACAGTGTCAGTGTTTTTTTTTTTTGCACTGATCACTGTATTGGTGTCACTGGGTATGTCAGTGACCTCAAGTCAGTACCCCCCAATGTCAGAATGTCCGCCGCAGTCTCGCAGTCCCGCCATAAGTCACTGATCGCCGCCATTATTAGTATAAAAAAAAAACTAAAAATCCCAGTATCTTTCCCGCCATTTGTAAACGCTATAACTTTCACGTAAACCAAATTAATTTACACGTATTGGTTTTTTTTTTTTTTAGCAAAGACATTGAATGCATTTTGGCAGAAATTTATGACTAAATTTGATTTTTAAATTTTTTTTTACTGGACATGTTTTATAGCAAAAAGTCCAAAATATTGTTTTTTTTTCCTCAAAATTGTCAGCCTTTTTTTTTATAGCGCAAACAATAAAAACCGCACAGGCGATCAAATACCACCGAAAGAAAGCTCAATTTGTGGGGAAAAAAAAGATATAAAATTTCATTTATGTACCGTATTGCATGACCGCGCAATTGTCCGTTAAACTAGCGCAGCGCTGTATAGCAGAAAAATGGCGTAAATTGCAGTATCTATACCATAGTTTGTAGACGCTATAACTTCCACACAAAGCAATCAATATACACTTATTGGGATTTGTTTTACCAAAAACATGGAGCAGAATACATTTTGGCCTAAATTTATAACCAACTTTGAGTTTACTATATATTCTTTATAGCTGAAAGTAAAAAATATTGTTTTTCTTCAAAATCTTTGGCCTCTGTTTATAGTGTGAAAAATAAAAAGCGCACAGGTGATCAAATACCACCGAAAGAAAGCTCTATTTGTGTGAAAAAAAGGACGTAAATTTTGTTTGGGTGTAGCATTGCATGACCGCGCAATTATGAGTTGAATTAGTGCAGCGCCAAGTAGCAAAAAGAGGCATGGTCATTAAGGGGGGTAAATCCTCAGGAGGTCAAGTGGTTAAATAAAATGCATATTGGCTTGGAAATACTGCTGGCTGCATTGTATGTATCCATACGAAAAATAGAAAAATGCCACAAGTAGGTGGATCACCCTATATAATTGCTCTCTGGCTCATCAATCGTATAGATGTGGGTTAATACCGAAAATTAAAAGCATATAAAGAAATAGGGCTGTTTATTTCTTTATTGTATGTATGCAACCTAAATTTGAACATTTCTTGCCTATGTTTTGTCATGATTGCTTGCACGGCAAAGCACGGCAATACCTTCACAGCAGGGCTCTGAGGAAGAGGCAAGTCCTCGAAACGCGTCAGTTTTGGATGTCTATACTCCCTATTGCGGACTGTTACTCAGTGCGGTGTTGACCCAGCTGTTCTTTATGATGTGCCTTGACTACATTGTCGTTTGTGAGTACAACACCTACTTTATTTTTTATTAAACATTTTTTATGGTAATGCACTAGGCCTGTGCGCCCTCTGTTTTGTCTTTCCTCTGTCAGGGCAGGAGCTGAGGAATGGACAGGCAGGCCTAACAATGTAACGCACTGGCTGACGACAACCACCACCCACAGACCGAAGTCCCTCAGGGCGCGGAGTCTAAGTCCCAGGCTGCCCTTCACCAGGGCCCCTGATGGTGGGGATGGACTTGACGCAGCCAGGAACCAGGTCGCGGCCCCCGAGACACCTCAGCTGCGGTAATGGCCGCCGCCAATGGCGTGTAGCTGGTGGAAGAGACAAAAGAGTAATCAGACAAGCCGGGGTCAACAACAACAGGACAAAACAGTACAGGACAGCAGACGAGAATCACAGGTCACGAGCCGGGTTCAGCAACAGAGGGTCAGATCAAAGGAGAATACAAAGAATAGTCAAGTCACAAGCCGAATCAGATACCAGGAGAGTCACAACAGTCAGAACAGAGTAATAGCAACACAAAGACACAAGACATGCAAAGAGCATGTGCGAGCCACAGGCTTATATGTCATCAGCCACACCCCTCTGGGGGATGAACCACAGAAACCTGAAGGCATAAAAGGATTCCCATCATGCACAGCAGAATCCAAGATGGACGCCAGCACATGGAGTAACATAACCTCAGGGAAAAGGTAGGACCTTGACATCCTCATTCATGATTGCTTGCATGCAGGGGCGGACTGACCATTTGGAAACTCGGGCACTGCCCGAGGGCCCGGGGTCAGTAGGGGGCCCCATGAGATGCCCCTGGTACCTTTTTCATAGGCTTTTTTGAGTTTGGGCAAGGACACAGGGGCCCCATGATACCCTATTGCCCGGGGGCCCCATGAGTTGGCAGTCCGCCCCTGCTTGCATGTTATTATGTTTGCCTGTTTGCTGCCTGTGTGTTATTGTATTTGTGTTTGTTCCCCATTTTTTTCCACGTTTTTTGGTACAATTATCCATTTCTCTCCCATTGTTTTGTCACAATTGCTCATTTATTGCACATGTATGGTAATGACTGCCTGTTTCTTGGCCACATATTGTCAGAATTTCTTGTGTTTCATTTGTGTATATTAATAACTTTTTCCTATGTATTTTCATGATTGCCTTTTTTTTTTCATGTAATGTAATAAATGCTCACGTGTTTTCAGTATATTTTCACAATTGCTGATTTGCTGCCTAGGTACTGTAGTGATTGCCTGTTTGCTGCCTTCTTATTGTCATAATTACCTGCTTCTTGCTTGTGTACTGTCAAGAATCTTCATTTGTTGCTTAGGATTGCCTGTTTGATGTGCATACATTATCATAGGTTCCCCGTTTGTTGCCTGTGTATTGTAATGAATGCTCTTTCATTGTCTGTGTATAGTAATGACTGCCTGTTTGTTGCCCATGTATTGTTACACTTGCTTGCCTGTGTATTTTTGCAATTTCCCATTAATTGCCCCTGTGTTGTCACAAATGTTCATTTGTAGCACAGTAGGAATAATATTCAGTACTCATTTGACAAGTAGGCAAATGCTACATTTGGAGAATTAAAAGAATAGCTGGAACCACTCCTCCTTTATCCCGCCTCTTATCTGACCTCAATCTCCAATGTGAGATGGAAAGAAGAATAGCCCTCCACAACTCCTACTACCACAAATGTACGGTCCAATGGTCTCGATGGTTGAAAAACCCCAATTGCTCAATAAATTGATTACTAATATATACCACTGTAACATGCTGTACCCCTACTGCACTGGTGCCTTCCCTTCTCCCCCTTTCCCCCTACCCCATGTTCCTCCCCTACTTACACCTTACCAATACTAGCAAGGTTCACGAGACACCGAGTATACCTCTCGTGTAAACATAACAAAAACGTATAGTTTCCCCCAGCCAAATGGTGGGGAGCCTCCACTCTTATTTTTTTTCTTTCATGCATTACGTCTCTCAAATGTGAACCTTTCCATTTCCATGTAAATGTTCATATACACTTTTTTGTATGTTAAAACGTTTCAATAAAAACTATTTGAATATAAAGAATAGCTTGATTACAAGGAGTGTGAAATTGTGTAAGTCCCATTCCTCAAGAGTATGAGACCATCATTGTTGAGCCCAGAAACATCACATGAAGTGGAGGGGGGAAATATCATGCATAGTCATTTTCTTTCTTAGTGTAGATCCGTATCAAAGTGGAGCATCAGGGCTACACACATAACCAATGTTTCCAAGCTACATCCTACAGCATTCAGTGGGCTTTCTGAGGCGTGCAAGACTTAATCCCATTCCACTGGTGTCAAAACTCATCTTGAGGGACATATACTCCTATTGGAGTCAAGTCCACTCTCATGTCCACTTCTCATTGTGTGGCCATTTTTGTTGCACACACTATTTCTTTCCCCCAACTTCCATCCCCATTTTGTACATCAATAATATGTAAGCTATTGGAAGAAATGATAAGGGACCATATCCAAGAATTTGCTGATGTAAATGGTATCATTAGTCGTAATCAACATGGATTTATGAAACACCGGACAAATTTTTTATCTTTCTTTGGGGAGGTAAGCTGTAATTTGGATAAAGAAAGGCCTGTAAATGGTGGGGAGTTGTGACTAGGGTGCCCCAAGACTCTGCCTACCTTGTTCTGTTTACCGTGTTCATCAATGACATTGCAGTAGGAATAAATAGTTCAATTTCAGTGTTTGCTGGTTATGCAAAGCTAAGCACGGCAATACCTTCACAGCAGAGAATAGCAACTTTACAAGAATCACCAGTTAAAATTGAAGTGTGGGCAGTTACCTAGCAGAGGTTTAATATTAACCTCTTTCCATGTGGCCCATCCACATAAACGGCCATACGTAAGCAGCACTGATGCGGGTGGACGTTTCTAAAAATTCCCCCACATCCTCCTCCTGTTACTCACCAGACACAGCGGAACATGGATCGCTGTACCAGGCCATTGTGGGTGGTCCCAGTACCATGTGATCACTGATTGGCCAATCAGCGATCACATGCACAGTAGTAAAGACGTAATTTCCTGGCATCATTGTTTACTACTGTGAACTATGTGATCGATCACAGAGATCACATGGTACAAGACCACTCACAGCAGCCTTTTGTCATGTGATAAGCTGTGACCAGTCACAGCTCTCACAGTATTTCTCAATGGTTGCAGGAATGCAACCAGAGAGAGTGAGAAATGATTGCTTTTACAGCCAGCATGCCTGTAAAAGCAATCACAGTGTAAAAAAAAAATCCTGATCACCCCCCACAAGTAGTACAGTGTCACTATGGTGACACTGTGCTGCTAGGGTGATAGTATGTAAAAAAAATAAAAAATGTAAAAATAAATCAAATATATATATTTTTTTAAATTATATTTTTTTTTCTACATACTGATTTGAGATATTTTTTTTACAAAAAAAGGAAGCAGAATACATTTTGGCTTGGATATATGAAGAAAGATTATTTATTTTCAAATGTTATAAGAAAAACATGTTTTTCTTCAACATTTGTTTAATTTTTTTTTCATTTTCAGTCAGGTCCATAAATATTGGGACATCGACACAATTCTAACATTTTTGGCTCTATACACCACCACAATGGATTAGAAATGAAAGGAACAAGATGTGCTTAAACTGCAGACTGTCAGCTTTAATTTGAGGGTATTTACATCCAAAATCAGGTGAATGGTGTAGGAATTACAACAGTTTGCATATGGGCCTCCCACTTAAGGGACCAAAAGTAATGGGACAATTGGCTTCTCAGCTGTTCCATGGCCAGGTGTGTGTTATTCCCTCATTATCCCAATTACAATGAACAGATAAAAAGGTCCAGAGTTCATTTCAAGTGTGCTATTTGCATTTGGAATCTGTTGCTGTCAACTCTCAAGATGAGGTCCAAAGAGCTGTCACTATCAGTAAGCAAGCCATCATTAGGCTGAAAAAAAACAAAACAAACCCATCAGAGAGATAGCAAAAACATTAGGCGTGGCCAAAACAACTGTTTGGAACATTCTTAAAAAGAAGGAACGCACCGGTGAGCTCAGCAACACCAAAAGACCCGGAAGACCACGGAAAACAACTGTGGTGGAACACCGAAGAATTCTTTCCCTGGTGAAGAAAACACCCTTCACAACAGTTGGCCAGATCAAGAACACTCTCACGAGGTAGGTGTATGTGTGTCAAAGTCAACAATCCAGAGAAGACTTCACCAGAGTGAATACAGAGGGTTCACCACAAGATGGAAACCATTGGTGAGCCTCACAAACAGGAAGGCCAGATTAGAGTTTGCCAAATGACATCTAAAAAAGCCTTCACAGTTCTGGAACAACATCCTATGGACAGATGAGACCAAGATCAACTTGTATCCAGAGTGATGGGAAGAGAAGAGTATGGAGAAGGAAAGGAACTGCTCATGATCCTAAGCATACCACCTCATCAGTGAAGCATGGTGGTGGTAGTGTCATGGCGTGGGCATGTATGGCTGCCAATGGAACTGGTTCTCTTGTATTTATTGATGTTGTGACTGCTGACAAAAGCAGCAGGATGAATTGTGAAGTGTTTCGGGCAATATTATCTGCTCATATTCAGCCAAATGCTTCACAACTCATTGGACGCTTCACAGTGCAGATGGACAATGACCTAAAGCAGACTGCAAAAGCAACCAAACAGTTTTTTAAGGGAAAGAAGTGGAATGTTATGCAATGGCCAAGTCAATCACCTGACCTGAATCTGATTGAGCATGCATTTCACTTGCTGAAGACAAAACTGAAGGGAAAATGCCCCAAGAACAAGCAGGAACTGAAGACAGTTGCAGTAGAGGCCTGGCAGAGCATCACCAGGGATGACACCCAGCGTCTGGTGATGTCTATGCGTTCCACACTTCAGGCTGTAATTGACTGCAAAGGATTTGCAACCAAGTATTAAAAATAGAAAGTTTGATTTATGATTATTATTCTGTCCAATTACTTTTGGTCTCTTAACAAGTGGGAGGCACATATGCAAACTGTTGTAATTCCTACACCGTTCACCTGATTTGGATGTAAATACCCTCAAATTAAAGCTGACAGTCTGCAGTTAAAGCACACTGTGTTTGTTGCATTTTAAATCCATTGTGGTGGTGTATAGAGCCAAAAATGTTAGAATTGTGTCGATGTCCCAATATTTATGGACCTGACTGTATATAGCAAAAAATAAAAAAGCCCAGTGGTGAAAAAACCCCACCAAAAAAAGTTCTATCTCAAAATAATTATAAAAATTTCATTTGGGTACAGTGTTGCATGCCTGAGTAATTGGCATTTAAAGTGTGAGAGCACTGAAAGCTGAAAATTGCTCTGGACTGGAAAAGCGTGAAAGTGTCCAGACTTGTGGTTAAAAAATGTAAATAACAAACTTGTGAGTTAAAATATGAATGCAAGTTACTTGCTAGAGGGCAAATCTCTGGAGGAATTGAATTGGATAGAAAAGGGTCCAGGGGTCTTAGTAGATCATAGAATCATACTATTCCAAGGTGAGACAGGCAAGGCCAGCAGACTACTAGATTGCATTAGAAAAGGGTATTTACACAAGAGAAATAACTATAATTCTACTACTTTACAAAACTCTGGTTTGTTCACATCTTGAGTATGCAGTTAAGTTTGGTCACCAATCCTCAGGAAGGATGTCCTTGAACTGGAGATGATATGATTGCAATATACAAATCTTTGAATGGTAACTATCACTGCGAGAAAACTATTTGTCCTAAGATCTCTAAAGAAGACGTGACCACAAAATAAAGTTGGACAAGCGTGGGTTCAATCTTAACCTCTTCACGCTGACAGTGCTCAAAGCGCTCCCAGCACGTGTCAGAGTCCCACTGAAAGGTTC